TTGTCTTGCCAAATTCGGACAGCTCATTCTGTCAGCTTTCCTATATTATACCGTAGGTAAGACATGCACCGAGGCCCCCAAAGAAAGCCTACCTTAGCTGGACGATAGCAGGTTTAGGATCTTCTGAAATTGAAAACAATTGCTTAACGCTTGAAACGGCAAAAAATTGTTATACAAAAGCTTCGTTAATTTCTGAACGAATCTGAACGCAATGAACCATTGCAGCGTAACACGTTGGAGAGTCTGTAAAGAAAAAAACTTTTATCAACTATCTAAATCTGTTAGGCCCACATTGGATGTTTCCCGCTACAGGGTCCAAACGGGATCGCTGTTCGCTGTGTACAAACTATAGATGGAAAAGAACCGAATTGAGTTTTGCAGTAGTACATGGCATACTCTTTCCACAATTTACGTACGTTAAAGGGTTTAATCACTCCATTTGCCTGGACCAACAACTCCTTGAAATACAGCCACATGAAATTGACTATTCTATTTATTCTGTGTGACTCATTTAACGGAACGTTGCCATATAAGAAAGTTTGACATACATACATACATACATACATCGTGCATTGACAAATCGCACAGCACAACAAGCTAACAAGGGGCGGAAAACTAGAAATTTTCCTAAACTAACAAAAAACGACATTCGTGATGTCTTTTTTTGTTAGTAAACGCTGCTTCCAAATAGGACACCGGTGCATATACGGGACACCAAAGCAGGCTAAGCCTGACAGAACCTGACCAGCAAAAATATGTTGGGCGAGTGAAGTAGGCGGTTTGAAAAAGGCCGTTTCCCTTCACTTTGACGGAGAAGCAGTTGCTTCCGCGAAGCGATAATTTGTGCGCAATGATCTCACATCTTCAAAGATCTCTGAACGGATGCTAATGATGTAATTGTTACTCAGCGATGCAAAGCGCTACAACCATATGGACAGATAGAATTGTTTTTGGCTATAAAGCTAGGTTAGGTTAGGGTTAGGTTAGGGCAGGGTTAGGTTAGGTTAGGGTTAGGTTAGGTTAGGGTTAGGTTAGGTTAGGGTTAGGTTAGGTTAGGGTTAGCTTAGGTTAGGGTTAGGTTAGGTTAGGGTAGGGTTAGGTTAGGGTAGGGTTAGGTTAGGGTTA